CAGGGTAACAATAGGAGTAATGGTGTCATTATAATCTCCATTTGATTGATGAGGAAACCAAGGTCAAGGAATGTGTCCATGTTAGTTCATGGTGGAGGCAGATTATGAGCCCAGGCAGCTGGCTTCAGAGCTTGCCTCTCAAACTTGACGCTGCACTGCTTTTATCTTGTCACTATGATTTTAAGGATAAGAATGGACGTGCATTGAGGGCTCTCCAGGATAATGGAGGTTTGCGTGTTTATTTATTGGAAAAATTTTATCCTCATAACCACTCTGGGTAATATCCTTATGTAATCTTTGCAGCTGGGAAGTCTGTCATTCACTGGATCCCCCATCATAACTCTGTGAGATAAATGGGTCACTGTCTATCATCACTGATTGACATATGAAGAAACTAAGGTTCAGAGTGGTTAAGTGACTTGTCAAGGTCATGAAATAACTGATGAATTTGTGACTCAAACCCCTAGCTTCTGACCTAATTTAGTTCAGTGTTCTTTTTATTAAGCCATGTCCTATGAAACCTTATTAGGAGTTCTTTGACCTGTAACTGACATTATTTGATCTCTTTCTAACATGACTTTTTTTTTTTCCAACTGGATTATTTAGAAAAGTATTTATATATCAGAAGCTATTAAATCACTCTAGCCATTTTGAATGGAAAATAATTAACTCCTTGTTTACAAAAAAATGCAGAGGCAAGAACACACACAGTACCATATTAAAACTGAGGCACACTTGGTGTGTGACACAGGGTTCCAACAGGAAACAGATGACATTGTTTAATATAAGAAGGCTCCTAAGAGATGTGTGGGCAAGAGGTAAGAACACCTAAAGCCAGGAGAGTAAATACCCTGGTCTCCCCCCACCCTCCCTCAGTCTTCTGAAAACAAACCCAGCCAGAAGCCAGAGGTAAGGGAGCCCCTAAATATGGTCAGTACCATCAGCATCTGGAAGAACAGAGCAAGACGAAGGCGTGGAGAGTAAATCTGTAGGGGCAACTAGAAGATTCCCAGCACACTTGGATTCACTATTTGTGAACACTACTTTTATTAGAGACCAAAATCAATGATTGAAAACGTCAAAATACAAATACATTTTCAGTTCTTTGAACGTAATAACTTCGTATAGCATACATTATACGAAGTTATACGAATTTGGGTGAGTGATTATGACACATAAATATCTCCACCAAAATAAAGGAGTAATAAAAAAAAATGCAAGAAAACAAACTGTTTCTTTTCTTACCCATGAGATGGTTCTATGGCAATGTCACTAGCCAAACCTACGTTTCATGAATAGCTGGCCAGTTAGAATTTTTGGTTTTGTGTATTGTACACAGAATGACTCCAGTAGTGGGGGTGGGGTGGGGGTGTATGGTCACTCCATAATCACACCTTTATATTCATTGAGCGCTTTTGACTGAGTAAACAGCTGGGCTTCACAGAAGATGCCTTAAGGGCCTGGCATTCAGGATGGTGTTGTGAAAGGGGAGTGCTGAGCAGATACTTTCTTGCCTCTGTGTCTGGATGTCACAGTGCTTCTGACACTGCTGCTTCTTACAGTGTGCTCTAATTATTAATCGACTGATTGCCTTGTTTAGTCATTAAGTCTTAATTTATTTCTAAAAATTTAAGATTGAATTCCAGTTATTTAGCTAGAACAATCATCATTGTGAGCTTCAAAGACCAAAATGTTCCCACATTTTTCTGTTGAGAACTGCAAAGCACTTTCAGAAAACCCTACTGCTAAGGCAATGATGTATCACTTTCACTTTCATTATATGTTTTTAATCAGAGCGTGACTTCACACTAGACAAAGCGATGCTTTATGCATGGTCTCACTTGTTTTTGCTAAAATCTTGTGACATGATTAATTTTACTTTAATGCTTTTGTCTTGTTGTAATGGTAAGGATGATGGGTATAAACCAGGCAAAAATACATGCTTTTCTATTATAATGCCTCTGAGCATTAAAAATATCTTAGATGAAAGGAAAAAAAAATCACAGGAGACTGGTCTGACTGGAATTAAATTTCTTGCTACCTGAACACAGAGTACATGAGATCTTTTAAAAAATGACTCAGTCATTGTTTTTAGTTTTATTTTGGGTATTTTTATATCAATTTATTCATCTGTATGATTAGATCTGAAGAGGAGGAGAAAGATCGCAGCTCCCAGATTTCTTAGTCTCATTTGTTGCTCTGCAGCATTTACCTCCTTCACAGTGTTAAGGGACCAAAATATTAACCAATTCTACATGAGGTATGTCTCAACCAGATCAAGGTAAAGCAGGCTATACTTTTCCATGGCAATGCTTGGCATTGGATATAGACTACTTTCCAGCTGTACTGATTTTCAGTCTAAAAGAATTGAACACAATAAATATCCTTTGTCCAAATCACAGAAAAGCAGTGATGTAGATGACTTTAAAAAGAAAACAATAGACCGTTCAATAAGTGAGGCCTGCCTTATGAGCAGCTGTTGAAGTATCATTTCTACCATATTCACCTTTTTATTTTCCATAATAAATTATGGAGTTGCTTATCTGTATTATAAGAGTATGACACCTTCCTTTTTTCTACACAACCTGACTGCTTGCTTGCTTGCTTCCTAAATAAATCCTATTACAATAAAAATATCGCCTAGTGTATTTCACACAGTGACATAAAATGTTGTATCTGTGCAGTCCAACATGGAAGCCACTAGCCACATGTGCCTATTAAGCACTTTAAAAGAGACTTAGTACAACTAAGCAACTGAATTTCTAATTTTATTTCATTTTAATCAATTTGAATTTAAATAACTCCCTATGGCAAGTGGCTTCTGTATCAACAACACAGCTCTAGGTAGTAGGAAGCTCTGTGATGTGTTCACATCCACACACAGGTGCTGTCTGCCATCCCAACCCTGATGAGTCAAACCTATTCTCCTATAGGCGAGGAAAAAATAGGTGACTCCGTGGAGTAACTAAAGTCAAAGAACCCGATGAACTACATGTGAGCCTTGTTCTAGGTACTGGGATTTCCCCTTTTGGCTTCTCATTTTCCCCTTCTACAAAGCCCCACTTTTTCAGCTAGGTTATCTGGTGGATTCATTTCTCAGGGCTGCTATGAAAAAAAATAGCATACATTGGGAGGCTTAAAACAATGAAAATTTATTGTCTCACAGTCCTGGAGACTAGGAATTCTAAACCAAAGTGTCAGCAGGGCCATGCTTCTTCCTAAGACTCTAGGAAAGAATCCTTCTTTGCTTTTTCCCAGCTTCTGGGGGTCCCAGGCTCACAGCTTCATCACTCCACTGTCTGTCTCCATCTTCACATGGGCTTCTGCCCTGTGCCACTCAGCTGTGTCTCTGTATGTAGATCTTCCTCTCCTTTCTCCTATAAAGACAGCTGTTGTTGGTTTTAGGGCCCACCCTCTTCCAGTATGAACTCAGCTTAACTTGATTTTATCTGCGAAGACCTATTTTTAAATAAGGTGATGTTACCAGGTACTCAGGGGTAAGGATTTGACATGTTTTCTCGGGGACACAATTCATCTCACTACACCTGAAGAATGACAGAAATAGGGAAAAAAATATAAAATTTAGGCA